AGTGGCGGGTCAGCCCGCGGTCCTTGACGAACGTCGCAGTTGTCAGTGTCAGTGGAGCACCCGATTTGCGCTTGGTCCACGGCAGTCAGCCAAAGAGATGATAACGCAGACAAATGCAAATCGTTCGCTCCACTAACACTTGGTGGTACTGTAATGCCATCTCGAGACCTCAGTGGGCTGCACCGCGCGCGAAGTGGGCGGGGTGACCTACTTTCGACGGACGCGCGCAACGGACGTTCTCTCTTTCTCACCCCATCAACTTCGGGATACCAGCTCTTTGTCCAGCAGCATCCCAGGAGAAACTATCATCAGTGGGCGCTGGACACAGAATCAGCCAAAGGGCACTGATTCTACTGCTAAGAATATGATAGTCTTCGATAAGTCTCCACGGATTTCCACCAAGCATTCCCATAAGTTCTTTCAAGCACAGTATCTATGAACCTTGGAATGATTGTGGAATGATAAGCTAGAAAGAGAGTGGATAGTAACGATTAGCTCCAGAAACTCCTTCCCATGCTACCCGCTGGCCAGTGGCTGAGCTCTCAGCTCGGCTGCTGGACGGCGGGTGCTCCTCAATCCCCCAACCTGCTTTTTTCGATTCAAATCTTCATTCCCTGAGTTGAACGAAACAACTGTACCACGTCCATATTCGTACTATGCACGTTCACTATGCGAGAATGGCGCAATCCCCTAGAAATCAATGAGCGTTCTCAAAAAAAANAAAAAAAAGAGGTAAGTCAGTGCACAAATTTCTTTTACAAAAGTAACTTCGAATAATACCTGTCAAAAATGCGGTCTAACAGCTTCATTGCCCATTTCTTGCATTTCCACCAAACGGTCTGAGCACGTTCTTCCCTGTCGTCAATGCTGTTGAGCTGAAAACCACAATGAGATTCCAGGTTGAATTTTCATAAATCACATTTTGAACAAGACCGAACCTCAGCTGGGCATTCCTGTGAAAGACAGCTAATTGAAAATTGGATCCAATCATCTAACCTCTCAAAAGACAACATCCCAAAATGAATGGAAAACTGGAAGAAAGAGAGTAGAATGATCCTCAATCCTAACGTCGCACAATCAAACAAAACTGACAACAAACCTGAGTCATAACATAAATAATTTTCAATCCCTGTTTTTTGATAATAACAGCTTCAGCAGATTGGTTATCGAGCATCTGTTTACAATGATAAAACACAAGAGGTTCAATTTTGGAAACAGGCGCAGCGATAACATCTTTATCCTTGGTTCTTTTAAACCTGAAAACATAGAAGTAAATGTAATGAGTTGGGATCATATGCAACTAATGATGAAGAAAAATTACTCGTAAACTTTGCCAACAGAATACAGAACAGTTAGACCCGCAGATAAAACAGAAGCGTTAGCCGGATTTGAGATCTTCGCGAAAAGGTGATCCATAAAACCTGGCCATTTCGCCGGATAGTCCATCCGAATGATGTTTTGTATCGCTATTGCTAGTTGGATTCTAAAAGTTAGATCATTTTGACTGTAAAATGTGCTCAACTTATTGAAAAGCACTCTGTTCCGGGCAGAAAAATATAAAACCACAGCCAAATCAAGTGAAAAGGAGGAGGAGGAGGGAAAGGAGATATGATGCTTTATAGGGCCCATACTCAGGAGACGGACAGTTGGATCGGTTTTGTGTTATCGATTCGTCGCGCGCAGCAATCGCGGACTATTCGCCCCGCTATCACAGTTCTAGCGTTCTTCATACAGCTCAATCGATACGCGATTATTATTTTTGGCATGATTCTAAAGTTAGTTCTATTGCTCCTGTATTTCCTACTTGCTGCTGCATTCTGCAACATTCCTTCGCGCGCGGCGTCTCTCTCGCCACGACGTGACAATTTCGATTCTACTGCACCACACCCCCGCTCTCTTAATCCCTCCGATATGACCCCGTAACTAGTAAAAATATGGGAATCAAGCGTTCAAAAGATTCTCCCAGAACTGGCTTGTCTTGCCTACTAAAGAAAATATACAACACTCTTTCTGGAACAAGCCTGCTCATATAACTACGCCATCAGAACCAATACGCATTATATCTACCAACGCTGCCAATACTTTGCACTCTTTGCCGTACAGGTTTGTAATAATAGAACAACTTTATTTGGCCGACTTCTCGAATAAATCACCCTCTCCGAGATTTGAAAGAAGTTTGGAGCTCCTGATCTGTGGCGTACTCGATCAAGTGCTCAAACGCGCTAACGAACACAGAAGAGTTGTTTCTGCCACCCCACCCTCCACCCCCATTCTTTTTGCAGGATCAACTCAGCAAAAATGAAATGTTAGAAAAAAACTGAAAAATACCTAGCCGGCTCAGTAGCCTCACAAATCGCATTGACGATATTGGCTTTGATAACATTTTTGTCATCTTCACTCAAGCACCCTTGGTCTTCAGCATTGTCATCAGAATCTTCATCATCCTCGATAATCTGAACAAATACTCTGAATTTGTAAAATTCGGCTAAAGCACGTCAACGCGTATGTGGTCGTAAAAAGTGTTTTGGCAAAGTATCGGTTTTCGCCCTTAGCCCCGCCCACCCCAGTGAACGCTCCACCTACAAAGGGAATTTGACCATCACCCCTTTAACAACCTCTAGCCACTTTCCCCTATTCTAGAAGGTTTTCAACAAAGTTATGACTTCTTAACCTTAGGTCTGCCCATAGTGAGGATCAAACTATTCTTCCTTCGCTACCTAGAAAAGGTTCCCCGGATTCTGACAGAATCTTAGTAACGGATTGAATGCCTATGCGACCTATACAATGAATTGCGGTGACCGGCCGATGTACAAGTCAGTGCTTTTTATCCTCTCAGACGAGTCTTAACAATTAACCGACCCCGGAGGGACGGAAGGCTTGGTTGGCCTAGGCGGATATCGATCGGGAACTCGAACGCACGACCGTGCGTGCGATATAGCGCGCCACTTGTCGCTACAAAACCTCCGCCTAGCATACATTAGACCTTGCTTATTTATACACTTTCAATCTCTACTTACACATTTTTTTAGCCTACAGTCTTTAGCGGAATGGACTATGAATTATCTTGGTAGGAACTGCCCACTTCGAGGACACCCCGCCCACCAAATATATTTCCCCTTTGCTGGCTTCGGCCTCACTTTTGCCTTCTTCTCACAGGAGCCTGAGCGTTTCTGAAACCAAATTAAGAAGTTTTCTCCTAAATCAATCCGATGCATGTCCTATACCATGTAGGTGGAAGCTCCGCTGAGCCCTATTAACCTGGCCCTAGGCCCCAAACACCCACACTTGGACACATCACACCAGGCACTTGTTCAGGTCATACAGCATTTCGTGACCAAATAACAAATGACGACCCGGATCGAGCGCTTTGCGTATAATAAGTGGGCATATATGCGCACTTATTCGAATTTTAGTTGATTTACTAGTTACTACATTACCTCCCAAGAGCGACCGACGGACATTTTGAAGAAGATAGCAGCCGACTGGCGAACAGGCTCTGGAACATTACCATCGGCAATGATGTTGAGCAATTCTGGTACGAACCCTTGCTGTTTAGCGCACTGAAATATCCAGCTACCAAAGAGACAACTTTGAATTCTACAAGCTAAGTATACTGTAGATTACAACATAAGATATCTATAAAATTAAATTATTAGAAATTAACTTACCATACTCCTGCAACATCGAAATGTTCGAAGTGCTCGAGCTCTAACTGACAATGAGAGAAGTTTGAATGCGTAAAGCGAATTCAAAATGAGAGATTAGTCAGCTATCATCTGCAGCTACTAGGGTATTGAGCTCCTACTTACTGCCACCTATAGAAGTTGGTGGGATTCCCGCCTCCCCAGCTATTCTTTTCATATTTTTGTACCTGGCAAAAATCTCTCTTTTTTAGTCCACGAGTTTTAATAAAGTTTGTTTTAACAAAGAGGGAGGCGCTAACAAGGACCCCAGATGTGACTGGTAAGAATTACTCAAATCTATCAGCCATGAAGCTGCTCTTTTAATAAAATAATTATTCTAGCACAAACTAAAGAAGGTTCAAAATCATCATGTCACAACTGGCAGTCGCGAGGTAGTTTACAGAAAGTGTGGTACAGAAAGTCTGGCTCTCTTTTGTCCATTTCGCATTAATCTTGAATTTTAAAATTCTAGAATTTGCAAGAACATTCTGGACGTCTCTCAATGATGGCGAGTTGCAAGGAAAACTTCACCGAATTTTTACTTGAGTATTCTGCGATGTTTTGGTTCCAGTAAAGCTTGTATTTGGTTACAGCGTTGTAGGGTAGAGTAGCCCCCAGCCGTGATACAATAATCATAACAGTTTCACATAAACATATGCAAGTTACATGTCCATCCGACTACTTGTGACTATCCCCTCCTTCACCCTTGAAGAGATGGTTCAGGATAAGAATAGTTTCTGAGTATTCTCCCTCGATCAACTTGTGACGGTCAAGAGTAGCATAATGGACGTTGTCGGGTCTAGAAACGGCCAATATCGGGCGATATAGAGACCCTGAAGGCGGCTCAGCCGACGTGCACACAACGAAGGAGGACGAGTTCTCAAGGCGTTATAGGGCTATAGAGGTTGCACCATTCGACTGAGACGCACATGTTGCACGCAGGCAGCTTATTATGGCCAGCTGTATGCAATGGCACACACATTTGGACAGCTCGTCCAAATACCCTTTCATGCAACCTTTGTCGTCACATACTCATTTGAGCCTCGATTAGCAATTTTTTTGTCACCTTATATCCCTCTAAATACGCAAACTTTCGCGTTTTTTCTGCCAACTTTGCACTTTACTTGAATTTCACTTCCATTTTTCGTCAAAAACCAGATGCTTTAGGATTATCATGAATTGCGCCCTTAAGGCAGGGAAACTCAAATGATGATGTCTCGGTGAACCGGAACTACTAGGAGCTACCTTCTCATACCGGTCCGAAACGAAGATCAGATTCCTCGAAAACTGCACGAACGACATTTTTATTCTTACTGAGGTATAGTCGCAATATTTTTATAGATAAAAACAAATGCGAGCGCGCCGCAAACATGAATGTCTACAACGTTGGTCAACGTTGCAGAAATTCGTGTTCAAAAGAACATGAACATACTCCGGTCTATACTTCGTCGTCTGAGCCTTATGACAAGTGGACAACCCTATCGATTTCTAGAAGAAAGGGCCAGCAAAAAATTGATCGACTATTACTACTATTTCGCTCCGGGACACGAGGATTGAATCGATTTTGTGTAATCGTTTCGCCGCACGCGCAGCCGCGGACTAGTTGCTTCGGGGTATGTGTCACCTCGTGCGTCCGAGGATGCGCGCGCCACATGGCGCGGCGAAGTTCGCAACGATTTGAACGGCTTTAACGATTATCATTGAGGTGCAAACTCGAAGTAGAGTAGATTAGAAGGATCATTTAACCCTACTAAACTACTCTACTCCGAGTTTGTGCCCCGAAAACTGGCGTCAGAATCGTGAAATCGGCACGGACTTCGCCGCACAATTTGCCGCGTGCATCCTCGGACGCACGAGATGACCGTCCCCCGTTGCTTCGTTATTGCAGTTTCATCATTCAGGTAAATCAATATACTGTTACTGTCTTTAACAGGATTCTATTGTTGCTTCTTTGTTCGTGTA